CCCCCCCCCCCCCCCCCACTGTCTCGTACGCCTATGTCAATAAGGCATTTACAACATGAACATAATACGAAGCCAAAGTGAAAGTGAAAGAAACTTTAAAGAAAGCGTGCTAATTCTCGTATTTTACTCGTATTTTACTCGTATGTCCTCGTATTTACTCGTATGTTACTCGTATGTACTTGTGTGTTTATACTCGTATGTACTCGTGTGGTGTTCTAGTCACGATCTTTTCGGAAACACGAGTGCGGCGCAGATTGGTACGGGATTCTCCACTTAAAACCCTTGTTTGGCAAAGTTAGTACTTCCACAATCCTAAAAATGTGTTGACAGTTGAAAAAGCTCGTGTTCATGTAATTCTGACTTACAATGCCTAATTACAGACTGACTTAATTTACCAAAAATAGTTACAGGTGAGAATTACCATTCTCCTTTCAACATAGTTTCTAATTATATCCTCAATATGGACATGTCGTAACAATCGTAAAACCTGGGTCAAACGAGGATGAGACTGTATGACATTCACGCGACCTTGCCCTTGGTTCTTAATGCTTTCCCAACACTATATCATGTACTCCATTTAATCAAGTTAGATAAAACATAGTTGGAACACAAATGTCCCTTAAGCCTAGTTTTCAAATGGTCGTTAGTTGTCGCTGGCACGACAAGCGGTAGATGTGAAATAGTCTAATATAATAATAGTCTTTTTGTGTGTTATATGCAAATCAGTCTTAATGATTGCAGAGTTTTATAAGGTTTTGTTGACACTCTATTACATCAGCCACTTGTCGTGCCAGCGACAACTAACGACCAAATGGAAACTAGGCTTTATAAGCCTGGTTCACACTAGCAATTCTGTCGGCGATTTTTCTCCTCCTGGTAAATGTGATCGAATAAATGACATGCAAAAGACTTATTGTTCACTTCTAAAAAGCGACTCTACACTTTTGTGTGCGCGAGTTCACTCATTTGCATCCGTCAGAAACACAAAATCGCCGACAAAATTGCTAGTGTGAACCAGGCTTAAACAATATCAACTCTCATCCTTGTTTGATCGGTGCTTAAGAATCAGAAATGAGAAAATCATATCAGGCTTGGGAAAGATCCAGGCTGACAACAATGGTTTCTTTTATCTACACTTTGGCAGACGCTGAACTCGACTTTATTACAGCAGTCTTGGTTAGACCAGTTATGTTTAGTCTTGTGACAAATAATATGTCATCATATGTATCAGTTTTAACAGGCTCAATGCTATCGATTTCTATATAGTGTATCAGCTCTACATATATACAGTAACTATGAAATGCCGTAATATATGGAGGCCGATCACTTATTAAAAGACAAGCCCATGATGGAGATATACTGCAGGACGTCAGCTTTTGCACTAAATTACCAGCCCTGGAAAATTAGGGACTCTGCCCTCTGGGACTGGTTGTTCAAAGCACGATTAGGGAAACACGAAACTGAATTTAACCAGCTATTTTGGTTTGCGCATTTCTACACCTCAACACAGTTTGTTTTATAACTTTATAAAATAGAACTGTTATCAATGCAGACAAGAATTCTGGGGGGAATATTTCTGGAAAATTTTACAAGTTGTTGGCCGGGAGTTTGCTTTGAAGGTTTACACTAACCTAGGAATAGGCCAAGCAGTTTTCAACTATACGCGACCGTGACGCTGCACAGGCAGTGGAAATTGTGTGGTCTACTCGTGTCAGTTTGCAATTTGTACAATGCATAGAAAATACTCAGCACGTTATTTTTATGTCCTGTTTGCTGTACATTCGCGTTGCCATCCTGAACCTGCTGAACGTTGCCGTCTCCTGCCTATACGACGAAACGTTTTACGAAAACACTTTCTAAAACAATAATACATGGAGCATTGTATCTGCCGTATGGATAAGACAGGAGTTATAATTAAAAACTAATACTTTTCATAACATGCGAAACGGAAGGAGAATCAACTTTATAGTAACTAAGGAAAACGAGCTAATGAGGAAGTACTACCGTACTGATTCTTCGGACTATTACGACATCATCTAGCCAAACTTACATGAGGTTAATCTTGTATAATCAATACCACCAATACTAGCCAGATATAGTTATATAGGAGATTTTAAAATTTATGCCTGTTCTCCTCCTAATGAGTTGCTTTGTCCCGATAAACGACATGTGGAGCATTTCTTAAGTTTGCTCTGTTAGTACTGCTTTAGTAACTTGGTCTTCTCCACAATTTCTTAATGTTAATCATCAAAGCCTTGCTCTAATAAGAAGTTTGCTGCCAGAGTTTCGTTCTTTTCACAAGCAAAGTACGCTTGGACCACTAGACCTTCTGGAAATCCAAGAGCTTTTAACTAAAAAGTGGGAAAAAAAACCCGGCACAGTTTGTAAACATATACTTCGATTCTACATACTCAACTATACAACGAATACTGCTTTTTGGAACATTTTAATCTCTTACCCTTTCAATAGCCTGCCTCTCCTCAGGAGTAACTTGAATATAACTCGTGCCCATTTCTCCACCGCCAGGCGGATTACCAGGTTGATTACCAGGCTGTCCTTCACCTGCGGGTGGCTGAGCGGAACCAGTATTACCTGTTCCTGCAGGTTGAGCTGCATGGAGAAACACAACAAAACACGTATGGGGATATTATTAACATTTTTAGGCATGCGATTATCCTGTACAGCTGTAGGTGCCATTTTACAGTAAAAAATAGTAAAAGAAAGATAATAAACCAAGATTGTGGAATAGGTAATGTAGAATAACGTATTAAAGGATACAGTATGGCATGTTTTTTGTGATAGTATAGTTATTGTTCATTTATAGGCAAGGTGTGGTGTACGCGAGGCATTGAATGATACAATAAGATACCTGCATGTACAGGGTAATGTAATGTAATGTAAGGCAAGGTAAGGTACTAGGGTAGGGTAGGGTACTAGGGTAGGGTACTAGGGTAGGGTAGGGTAGGGTAGGGTAGGGTAGGGTAGGGTAAGGTACTGTAAGGTAAAGTTGGGTAAGGTACATAAGGCAAGACAAGGCAAAACAAGGTAAGGTCTTAAGATACAGTAGGTAAGGGAAGGAAAGGTTGGTTGAGGTACATGTAAGGCAAGGTAACCTGATATTTTACATTAATTTCAACTTTTACATAATGAAGTGAAGTAACAGAACGTACCTGTACCACCTCCCTCGACGGGTTGATTTAATAAATTGATAAATTCTTCCTGATGTTGTGTAATATACTACAAGTAAAGATAATTAGGTCGGGTTATTTAAACATGAATAGAATTTGCAAAATATAGTCAAAGCTATGGCTTTCTTAAACATCCGTTCATCACACAATATGATAACTTTGAGTCTTGTTTACAATAAAGTATTGGCCGGTTGTTCAAAGCACGATTAGCGCTAGTCGTGGTTTAAATTGAACCCATTGCTTTGGTTTATGTATATATGTACGTCTGTTCATTTCAAAACCTTAGAAAATGAAACTTCTGATGATCCATTGGTTGCAATCTAACACGGGAAAGACTAACAGGATTTCTGAAAAAATATTTCCAAGTTTATAAACAAGCTGCTGGGAAGTATTCTTTGAATTTCATGTTAACCCTGGGTTGAGCTAACCAGCTTTTGAACAACCGGCCCACTGGCCCCAGTTGTATCAAGCCCGTTTAGCTTAAACGGCGGTTAAGCTCAAAATAGAAAGCAAGTCTATAGATTCATTCAACAACCAAACTAAAAGTTTTGAACCTTAATAGAACCATAATGTTTACAACTACATATTCAGTGCACAATATTTAAGTTGACTGATTCACGAGAGATATAAGAGTGTTATTTAATTTTGAATTATCCACGTTTAAGCTAAACGGGCTTGATACAACCGGCCCATACGAGAATTAGGTTGGGGTTAAGGAAATGATTAGAAATTTTGACACACTATTAGTATTTAATGAATTGAGGATGTTGTTAATATGGAAATTCACTCATCCTGTAAATGCAGTATTGTAGACTGTAATGTAGAGTACCTGTAGCAGCTGTGGATTAGACTGTCCAAGTTCTTGTAATAATGTAGGCAGTAATCCGGGATTCTGTTGTACAGCTTGTCTTATCAATGCAAACTGAGGTTGATTTTGTAGAAATGCAAGAGGACTATCTCCAGTAACACCACCACTGGCAGGTGGAGTTGTTTCAGAGCCTTGGTCTGCAGGTGCCGTCTCTTGTTGAACTGTTGGTATGCCCTGAAATATTAAATTCGTATTAAAACGGTCATTCCCATAAAATACCAGACTGCATGGGATCTTGTTATGACAGACCAAGCACGTAATATTATTATATTTTGTATATACCGATATAAGATACTCCACAGCTCTATCAGGATTATTGAAACTTGCTCTTAAGGCTCGAACAACCTGCAAGACAACAACTAATAATCAGTTATTATATGAGGCTCAGCATGTATTTGCCGAAACCAAAAAGTGCGGCAAAGTTTGAAACTTAATTACTGCATATTGCTAGCTTTTAATAAATGGATTTTGGACCCTTTGTAAGGAGGTTAAGCCCGTTTTCCACTAGGGGAATTTCTTCGCTCCATGCGCACTTTTTCCTTTGTCTGCATGCATTATTCGCTTATCACGCCAACAAAAGCCTTAAAGCGATGCCAACAAAGCTGGTAAAAGGGACTCGCTTCACGTGAACAAATTCGCCTAGTGAAAAACGGGCTTTTAGGCGCGAGGCCTTGGCTCGACAGGTCGAAGTTTGTTCTTATTTTAAGGTAGTTGCATCACACAAGTTTGCAGTTTGTATTCTTCGCTTCTTACACTGGAACCCAGCGTTCCAGTCTTTGACCGTTTCTACTGAAAACATAATGATTTATCTTAATTCACGAGGAAGATAACTATAATAATAATTATAGTTTTAGTAAATATATACATGCAAAACTCCAAATAATATACTGTATGCACAAAATACATCTTACTCTTACCTTAAATTACATTCAATAAAAAACTAAAGCATGATAACTTTAGCTTGTGTAGCAGCCGGTTTTTTGGGGGGAGGATTTGGGGGCCGAGAATTTTAAGGTGGGGGAATGGTATAATATAACTTATAAGTGTTGTTACATATGTTTCAAAGTTTGAAGAATGTACCTGATCTCTTTCATAACCCATACTTGTAATCGCTGTAACCATCTCTTCATATTGTGTTCCAGTAACTGCAGAGAACAGAAGTAGAACTGTTAAAACTGAAACCTTTCTCAAGTATCATCAGAATATTATTATGTCACAATCAGATAATTTCGTAGTCGCAAAATCACAGGTTTTTCTATATTATAGATGTGCTCTTCCGTGTTTCACTGCACAGGTGAACACTCTGTATTTACGTTTCCTGAATAAAAAGGGCAATGTACAAAGTGTTACCTAATGTTGATTCCGCAGTTGCGACAGACGGTGGACCTGTAGTCGCTGGAGTAGTCGAGGTCGTTGTGGAGCCGCTTGTCGTCGTTGTTGTTGTTGAACTCGTAGTACTGCTTTCACTAAAATCATATTTTACATCAAAGAAATTCAAGTGAATTTGTCAGGAAGGCCTTCGCTCTTAAAGTCGTTAAATTAGATTCCACAAGAAAAACCTATTCTGGTGTTATTAGGGGTGGAAAAAGACAAGTATACTTTCAAGTTACCAGAAAATTTTTGGATGGAGAGAAAACGAAAAAACAAAATGTATGAATGAAATAGACATAAAGAAAGAAACAAACTGATAGAGTAATGGGTGGATAGAGGGCGAAATGGATGGACTAAATTGCAGTGCAGAAGCGATGTCAACAAGGGTTTGAAGGGCAAGGGTGGTGAAGTTTTAAAAACTTAAACAATGCATAGTATACTAAATAAGTCAGGACATTTAGACTGACTGATTGACTCGATAGTGGATGGCATTACGCTTCGTTCTCCGTTCCTGCCTAGTTATGGCCATGCTGGAATATTGGCAAAATATGGTCAAAGAAAGAAAAATATTTTCCAGGCCTGGGTGTTATCAAAGCTATATACAGTATATCATACTGGTAAATTCCTGACAATGAACCTCCGCTCGAGCGTAACTTTTATAGTGAAAATACAAAAAGTGTCCCACTTACGCTTCTGTAGTTTGTTGTGATTTACTGTAATTTGTTCTGTTTTTCTGTAGCGATTACCAATTTATTGGCAAATACCGCGATAAAACTTAGTTTTCTCTATTTTTAAATATGATAATTTGTAGCAAAGGGAAATAATACATTTTTCGTTAGTTTCATTGCATCAAAGGTACGAAATTTAAATTTTATCGCAGTATTTGCCGATAAATCGGTAATCACTTACTGCAGCACTTCAAATGGGTATCCTGGAGTTGCTGAAGTTATCAACACTACCTTGTAGATTTTGAGTTGTCTTCTTCTTTCTCATCATCCTTATCTGAAGCTGGTGTAGTTGCCTTGGAAATTAGTACAGAGGCATGTAGTAAAACACTGACTACCGGAACACCGGAACACCACCGGAACACCGCCGGAACACCACCGGAACATCGGAACACCACCTAACCCTAACCCTAACCCCAACCCCCAACCCTAACCTTAACCCCAAACCCTAACCCCAAACAAAATGGTGGTGTTCCGGTGGTGTTCCGGTGGTGTTTCGGTGGTGTTCCGGTAGTCAGTGTTTTACTACATGCCTAGTACAGAAGTTAAAATATAAGAGCAACTTACATACGTACAACAATAAATTGAAAGTAACCTGCTAAACTCGAAATATTTCCAATTAGCACATTAATGATTTAACAAGTTTTGAAAGGGAAAGATACTGTAGAGGGCATAATTTTCATGGTGTGAACCACTGTAAATGCCAAAATGTCACGATGTTAATTCTATTTTCAGGGGTGGGAGGGGTGGGAGTGCTGCCGTTTTTCAGAAGGGTGTATAAATTGCTGGATCTTTTCCCCAAACTCCAACTACACGTATATTATTATGCTTACAGGATATTATTATGCTTACAGGATTCTGCAGGGATGAAAATTTTGAGTGAAAATTACACTGTAGTACACTGTATCTGAGACATGTGCAAAGTATAATAGGGTCAGAGACTCAGAGTGCTCAAATGAACACAATGGAAGTGAGCTTTTATATATAAATTTGTAATCTTTGTACAGTGCATATTTAAAACTATTTGTAACCATAAAAAGATAATCATGTCTTACTGTTGCAGAGCTTTGAGATGCTGCTGTAGTTCCAGAGGAAGCTGAAGGTGCAGGTGTAGCTGGTGTTGATTTTGACTGAAAGTATCAATTTTACATGTAACAACAACAACAACCTAGCTAGCTTGGAAATTATTTATACAGATTATAACAAGAATTTAATATTTCACACATGGGTACTGGCGTTCAGAAATAGTTACTGTATATATGGCTAAAAATGCCTGAAAGCCTGTTCACCAGGTATACTGCAGCTTAAACATTAATGTATGGGTCAGAGTGAATGGATATTTACACAAACTTACACATTATGAGCAAGAAGGCAGACAAAGAAAAAATCTACCAATATTACAATAAATTTCATAATTATCTGAAGAGCAAGTTTTGTAAAATATAGGCCGTTTGCTGCGTCCCGATATCGTTCACTTTCATTTCAGTAGATTTCACCTGTCTTGGAACTGAAATATTTTTACCGGAACTAACACTTTCGAACACGCTGAGTTCAAACCCGAAAAGTTCCCCGCTCCGTAGACCTGCAGTTTTCTCACAAACTGCAATTTTATCTTCACTAATTTCACGACAACTTTTTTCATTGTTCAACGACACGGATTGATGATGACAAACGATTATGTCACTCAAAAAGAAGCGACCATATTTTTTTACAATACAAACAGAATTCCAAGACCGTGATTATTCTGTCAAGCATTTTAATTTATACCAAATAAAGGAACAGCATAAAGTTCTATCCCAGGCCTGTACATGCATGTAGGGTGTAGTTAGAATTTCAGTCAATTCTACCTTTGTAATCATGACAACAATAAATCCAGTTTTTTCATCAATGTTATATTCTGTAAGTGGTTTGTCATCAACCAAGATTTTGCCTAATAAAATATTGCAATTATAAGAATTACTTAACATTTCTTGTTTAGTTTCATTGAGTATGGTACCGGTATTTCAAACCAGGGGCGAAACTTCGGTTTTATGGCTGGAGGGGGGGGGGAGGGGGTATGAGCTTGTTTTACTCAGTCACAAGGGCGTGGTCGAAGTTGTTCCCGATAGCCGAACATTTCAGTTGCTAATTAATATTTCTTTTTAAGGGGTGGTGGGGCGTAAAAATTTCCGGACATAGCATTTTTCACTAACTTTCAAAATAATTTACCGTAATTTGTAAAATTTTTCAGTCACATTTTCGTAAATTTATCAAAATTTTTCCCTCAACTTTTACTTTAATTTCAATCCGAGACACTCAAATATTTTCAAAATTGTATGGATATACCTGACGAGATAGAGACAGGGGGTGTCACATCGATCATCCCCACACCCCCGGTAGTTTCGCCCCTGTTTCAAACCATTTCCAGGCCTTTTAATATGACATACTGTATCAATAAAGACTAAATAAAAATGCCCTTCAAAATCATGCACCTAGGTTCCTTTGGGCATGTGTAGATACTTGTTAGCCCCTATGTGTATGTTAAATATCAAGATTTTGTTGGCATCTCACTCGATTGAATATTAGTTGAAGGGTATTGTAGATGTGAATGGAAAATTATATACATTTCTTAGACCTAACCAGGAACAGAAGCGAAAAATGCAACTTTAGGTCTCTACTGGCGGGAATCTAGAGCCGCAGGTTCGATTCCTAGCTGCAAGGGACCTAAAGTTACATTTTTCGCTTCTGTTCCTGGTTAAGGCCCTGACACACTATTGCATACGGTACGGCACTAGTGCATGCCAGTGTATGAAAAATAGCACTCATATGCTGAAAAAACGCTGACAAACGCTAGTGGTATGTTAGGCATAGGTTGTATATGTTTCAAGCACGGTCGCGTACGGTGACATACGCTGAAATACTGCGAGGCAGAAACTTTTTTTAAGCATGCTTAAAAATTTTGTGCATATTCGGACGTATGGTTTATACGATAAGCATACTCTAGGCACACACTGAATATGCTAGCGGTACGCCAGATGTATGGTACGCATACGCTACCATTCCAAAGGACTTTTGTGCATATGAAAATTATTTCATTAATTTTCATACGCTTCTCATACGTTTCTGTCATACGTAATAGTGTGACAGGCCCTTTAAGTCTAATACTAATACTGTACAGTAGATGTATATAAATTTCCACTCAATAATTTCCATCCACAATACCCTTCAATTGTGTGTATGCCAGACCTGCCAACCTCCAACAGCAACGTTGAATCTGGAGATCTGATAGAAAATTTCTTGAGATTGATCTCTTATTTCTGGAGATAAAATACTGAAAATCTGGGGTAATTCTGGATAAGACAATAGTGAGCTTAAGCAAGTGACGTTTTTGACAACACGAACGGCATGAGTAACGTCAAAAGACTGGGTCAAGGGCTGTGATTGGTGAAAAACGTCAACTTTACTTCCGGTCGACGTCCGTGTTGTCAAAAACGTCACTTGCTTAATTACTGTCCTCCAAAATAAAACTTTAACTCAACAGTTTACTTACAAGTTCAACCTGGTCTTAGTCTATACGAGTGTATCTTACTAATTTGGGATACTATTCCAATTTTTATCTCACACACCCCTGTTGAGGAACCTTGGAATTCCAGAGGAAGGGGATGATTTTCAACCACTGACCCGCATTTTCAACTCAAAAATCAATTTCCTCAATGTGGGAAGATGTGAATATAAAACAGGAATAGCCCATTGGCCGATTTGAGAAGTTTCTGCTTCCGCCATTTTCTTGCAGTAAATTTCCCGCTCTGCGCCGGCGATACACTAATGGAGCATACCGCTTAGGTTATTCAAAATGGCGGAGTACTTAGATTGCTATTTAGTAATGAGCAGTGGCGAAGCCACAGATGATAGATAATACCAGATGAATTACTCAGCTAAAATTGTGTCCGCGATTTTTTATGAGCACGCGTTGGCCGCCATTTTGGCAGTAAGTGTAATCCACGCCATGAAACGTGAGCAATCACGCATTTTGGCAGTAAGCGCCATTTTGGCAGTAAGTGTCGCACACGTCATCTGGCGTGATAGCCTCGCGAAAATCGCAGACACGAAAATCATAGGGATAGGTATAGAGTGATTCATCTGGTATAATCTATCATCTGTGGCGAAGGTGAGGGAATTTGACTAGTCATGCTCTAAGACCCGCACAGGCTGGGGGGTCCGGGGGCATGCACCCCTGGAAAATTTTGATTTTCGAAGTCTGGAATGGCCATTTCCTGCGATTTCAGGGTGAAATTCATGCAAAGAGAGCATAAAAAAGTGATATAAAGAGGAAAATTCTTAATACTTTTTGTTTTTGAAATTTGTATTTCCACAAATTTTAATTTTATTTCACTATACTGAAAATATCGCTCAATATAGCCATTATTGGCAGAAGAAAGAGGAGAATATTGTATGTGTACATTTTAACACCCTTCTGCAATATGATCTTAATTAAATTTGGAATTGCGTAAGGTCAACTGCTGTATACTATAGTATAGTGTCTACAAGGACCTTGTAAATCTGAAGCAGAAACCTAATGTTGAAAGATACTTTGTTTAGATATTTGGTATATCTGTAAACCTCCAATTATATAAGCACTCATGAATAAAGCAAATGAACTCGTAGTAAATATATTTATATCAAGAGGAAAGGTCTTCACAAATCTTGTTTATATCGCCATTATATACAGTAGAATACACAATCGAGTCTGTTCACATGCATTTTGTGAGCTAAAATATCTTGTTAGAAGCCAGAAATATTCTATCGAAAACCAAATCAACATGGCCTTCCTACCATTCACTCGATTGACGTTGGTCGATTTCCATAGATACATAACCAAGATCACTTGAATAAATCTCGACAGAATTGCTGAATAATTTACGGCATTTATTAAACTTGGACAAAATTCGGCGAGATACGCATGCGCGAGGAGCAATTTAGCCAATAGAATGCGTTGGAATTTATAATTTAGTCGTGCTCGCCTGACGAGAGCACGACTAACAGGAGGATTACCCATTAGTCGTGCTATTAACCCGCGGTCGGGTGAAACTACGCAATCATACCTTGAATTGGTTTAAAATCAGGGCAAAATCGCCAGATTTGAAAGCATTTCGAACTTAATTGATGACGCAAGTGTACGATGAATCGTTTTTAAAATTTTGGAGGAATTTTTTTTAAGACTAAAAAATTATTTTCTTTGAAATTTTTTTACTTGTGCTCAGCACAACTAGCACGACCTCAAGCTTCGCCACTGGTAACGAGTAAATAAATACTAATAGCGTTGGGGATTTTTTACAAATTAGAATTACTGTCAATGGCTAGTTTTATTTCACATTAAACACTCCCATTTTAAAGTCTAGTGGTGGATAAAATTTCAAAATCGTGAATCCGTGAGATTTGAAAATATTTCCGTGAGTCCGTGAGATAATGCCTGAATTCATGAGTCACACAGGAAATCCGTGAGAGTTGGCAGGTCTGGTATGTTAACCCATTGAGTATGGCAGCACTCTCTTCTTGATGAGTAAAATCATCTGGTGTTAGACAGAGTAGAATAATAATGTAGGGCATATCAGGTGGGGTATTGCCACATAAAGGGTTAATTATACATGTAAATTAAGTTTCAAATTACCAGCATATATTAATTTCATGTCTTTAACAGGAAACTTATCTTTCCCATTTTCTTCCTCTACTTTCTGTTTCAAGTCAAGAACCTGTAAGAGAAGAATGGAAACTGTCATATATTTATTTATTTTTTGATTTAAGAGTGCCAGCATTCTCCCTTTGAAAGTAAAATTGTAAATATGCATCCCTTTATGAAAGTACGATCCTTTGAAAGTAAGATTGTAAATATAGACCCATTGCACTGACGTCACAAATCCTTAAAGTGTCCTCCAGATGCTCCCTAACAATATCTGTTGGGGTACAACAACCAAATATAGCGCGAAAATTAACGATTTTAATACAAAATTATTGTAAAGTTTTACAAAATTTGCTTTGTTTACAAAAGTTATATTATGCATAGATTGCTAATTTGTCCTCCAGATGCATCATCACCGGCGCTATGACGTCATGTGCAAGGGGTCTATATGCATCCCTTTATGAAAGGATTCCTTTGAATGTAAGCTTATAAATACACATCCCTTTATAAATTAACGCGACATCAAATTAACACGGATTGCTTCTAGGTCTTTTAAAACATGATTATATTAACGCGAATCTGATCTCCATGGTTGACAAATTAATTAAATTAAAGCGAATCGGAAAATATAGACACAACAACAACAAAGGTTTAATGTTAAGAGGAGCACTGATGTTTTTACTTTACGTTAATATGCTGTATTTTTTAAAAGAGTTAGTGTTATATAAAACAAATCTAGGTATTTTTAATTAACGATAAATGAAAATTACATACTTAAAATTAACGATCACATAAATTAACATTAATTAAATTAACGCGAATTTTTAAAATCCGTGTTAATAAAGTGCATCGTTAATTTCCTATAAGGTAATTATATTCAATATGACAATTTGCACATATCCGGATGTGCAGATTTCACTGTCTTGTATCAACACAGTTTGAATCAGTCTAGAGGGTCTAGAGGATAAATCAATGTGCAAATTTTCATCATGAAAATTTCAAGGAAGTTTTAACAAAGTGGAAACATTGACATAAATACATTGAAATGGGTCATTCCAGAAAAGATCCATACCCCCCCCCCCTACGGAGGAAATCGAAAATAACCCCCTCCCCCCCTTTGGACATCCTTGAATGGTTCATCCTCCCCCCCCTCTCCGGACATCAAAGCCCAAAATTACCCCCCTCCCCTTCGGACATCCACTATTTCTAAATTTTTCTAAAGGCTACCTCGCCGTTTGAAAACGTCACCGAAAATTAGACTACGTTCACACTACGCGCAAGCGAACTAATGCGGGCAGAATTTACGTGTGTTCATACTACCGCCATTACAGTTTGTTTACAAATTGAATTAGCACTCGTGTAAACCCAAAATATTTCAAATAGACCCAAGAAATTTAACTGAAAAGCATTCGAGTTTACACGTTTGTGTTCACACGAAGCTATCAAGCGCTCCGCCGTTTTCACCTCGCTCCGTTTAGAAACCGTGCTCAAATTGTTACGGCAAAAGTGACGTGAAAGTTTTCAAACGATTTCGCTCCAGCGTAGAGTGAATTAGCGATGGCTTATTGTGACTTTTCTATGCTGTTTTCAAATAGCTCCAGCGTGGCGGAACACTTGGCGGCTTCTTGTGACTTGCGAACACAAACACGTGGCAGGTTTTGTCGGATAATTTGCAGAAATTCACTTCGAAATTCGTTCAAGTAAAATTCGGACTGAAATTCGATGTAACTTGCGACTGATTGACAAGCGTTGCTATGTTTACTTAGGGGCGGACCATTTGACTTTGTGAAGTGGAAGATTCAGTCCGTGCAAGAATTTTTTTCCGCCCAGGCGAACAAGACAGATATTTTTTTCCAGTAAAAGTGCAGCGCAAGATATTTTTTTCCCAATATATTTGGCGGCAGGATATTTTTTTTGCCTCTCATAATAACGGCTTACAGTAACTTAAGGCTTTCATATAGCTATCAACAGAGACGTAGCAGGGGTTTTCAGTCAGAGGAGGCCGAGAACTGAATCCCAAGAGGGGCCAAGGAATTTTCACTGTGCTTTATTTTATATGGTTATATCTTAATGTTCGCCACACTAAAGCGTGCAGGTTTACTTACAAAAAATGTATAACTGCACCAAAACCTAAAACATGCAGGGATAGAGTAGAGTACTCGAAAATGGGGGGAGGGTACAGTATATGAATAACCTGTAACCTTGGGGGGTTCGGGGGCATGCTCCCCCGAGAAAATTTTAAAATTTGAACCTCGGAAATGCTATTTCCTGCGTTTTCAGCCATGGATTCGTCCACGACGACTTTCTTTCGTGACAAAATCACAAAATGAGCTTTGATTAATATGTAATAAAACAAGATTTCAATAATGCAATTTTTAACTGCCCTCCGAAACAACAATGTTCCACCAAATATAGCTCTGTAGCTTTTCAATCGTTCATACAGATATCTAGCTTGTTGGGGATCGGGTTGCATCCTCTTCAGAATTTTTTTAAAATCTAGACTCTCTAAACTGGCATTTTCGCATTAAAATCATCGTATATACAGTACATTCAACTTGCATCCTGTAGATGGGCCTTTGAAGCTTTAATAGTTTGGAGCCATGTTATCAAAAAACGCACACAGACTCAACCATCCAAAAATACTTTTTCTACCATGCATAATAGATATGTATAAATAACTTATAAACTTGTACATAATTATCTTAAGCCCAGATTTTCTCACGGGGTGGGGCCACATTTTTGCCAGGGAACACCACTGGCTATCGTATGTCAGAGGCTCCAAAGGCGGTAGAATCCCTGTGATGTTATCCACTATTCACCCTGTGTTCTTTTAAGCAAATGTGCCTGCTCAAAAATGCAAAAGCTTGCAATCCTGTGGACACAATACTGAAGTGAAGAGCATCAGTATAGTTACATGTAGAAATATTTTTTTTGAGCGCTCTCTTTTGCATGATCTTTTTTTTCTCGATTGTATGCTGCATGATTTTTTTTCTTTCTCCTTGGGTTGCAGGAAATTTTTTTTCGAAATATTCCACCCCCATCAAAAGTCAAATGGTCCGCCCCTTACATGTTAATGCATTTTTTAGTATTACTGCATTTCTTAACCTCGCCCTTAATATGAAAGCCATTTCTATTTTCTAGACACGCATCTTGCAAAGAAGCTTTATTGACTATATACTAAAACAAATTGTTTTGAGCAACAGTTTAATAACTATTATTTTTAACACTTGAATAATTCAAACTTATATATACAAACGAAAACTGCAAAACTTTACTTTTATATAAATAAAGCGTGTCAATTTTCGACTCATTCTCAACATGCGGGATACGCTGTTACAGCGAGTTAGTTTTTGGTGGCCATGCATGCAAAAGTGGGCCGCTTATTTTGCTTACGAGTTACGTGGACGTATAATTATTGCTGTTACATAAACGTTCCGGTGTTCAAGAGCTGCATATATATAGCCGATAAAAATTGCGTGCTCATTATAATCGCCGATCACATAGCTTTATCACAGTCTCAAACCTTCAGACAAACATATCTACATTCCTCTCCCCCCCTTCGGACATCCTAACACATTTTTCCTCCCCCCCCCCTTCGGACATCCTAAGACATTTTTCCTCCCTCCCCCTTCGGACAGCAAAAATTTCCTCCGTGGGGGGGGGGTATGGATCTTTTCTGGAACGACCCAATGAACATAACTGGAATGTTACCTTCAGATAAACTGCCTATCTTTTTCTTGAAGCCAAATCAGACCTCCAGACACACATGTTTATGTCATGATTGACTGGTCTTCGCATGCGTGAAAAGACTGGGACTGGCCTTCAACTTTGGCTTCAAATTTCCAGTTGGAAGTAGCGTTCCAGTTATATTCATTTCAATGCATAAAGCACATAATGGAAACAATTTCATTGCAAAATTTGTGAGATTGTACTGCTTTTCACACATTCTTTTAGTCCAAAAATAAAATTGACAACAAAATACAAAGCAAAATTAGACCTTAATTTGTTCATTTTGCAAAATAAAGTTTGCACATTATTTGGAAAACTGATTTGAAATTTTCAATATTGCACATTGCACACTGTTAATGTATCATGTCATTCCAGAAGATATCCATACCTCCTCCATAGAGGAAATTGGAAGCTAACCACCCTACCCCATTCAGATGTCTTAATGCACTTACTATTATCAGAAACAAATTTCTCCCCTTCCCCTCTGGACAGCAGAAATTTCCTCGGTGGGTGAACTATGGATCTTTTCTGGAATGACCCAATTCAAACTCTGTGATGTGCCATATGCAATTTAGTGCATGCTTAATTAAACTACAGCGCTACAAATTGTTCATGTTTGGAAAATATTTATCCACCAGGCACAAATAAATTTTGAAATGACTGTAGAACATTTTAAAAGCTTAAAATACAGCCATTGAAAAGTTTTGCTGATTTGTTGACTTGTGTCAACTATTCTAAGAATCACATGAATGAGGATCAGGATTCCTGGGACAATGATGTGGCCTGGCAGCCTGCAGAGATTTTAAAATGACATAATTATGTGCTTCTCACATGATATTTACACCACAAGCCTAGGTTTCGCTTTGGCTTATTCTGACTGGTTAATTAAACTAGTCAGTCAATCAGTGAAGCAAAATTAACATGCATGGCCACTGCCAGCTAGCTTATAGGCTTTTGGTGTAAACATGGCTTCAGCTTGGTTTCATTTTCCAACAATAGTACTCACCAAGTTCACTGCTCAAATATTTCAATATAATTTCTATGCAAAGTTAATAATACTGAACAACTTCTCATGTTATAGCAATGGTATAAATAGACATAAAGACAAGAGCAAATACTTTTATATTATTGTATAAAATATATACTTTTAATATAAATGTTCTCAAGTTGAAATATATAAAAGCTGCAGTACACTTTCAACATTCAGTAAAACATTGAGCAAAAGTATTGGTGTTGATAAGACAAAGAGCTTGAAATGTAAATCTAAAATACAAATATTAGTTCCTCAACACATCACTTTACAGTTTTACACATGAAGACTATTTCACTACTGTATCTACATTTCTTAGACGTATTATCATGGTCGACCCACCGTTTTTTCTGCTTCGATTTCAACGGAAAAAGTCTGTTGTTGTAGAGTCTTGAACGTGAGCTTCATGTTCTTGCTGTGAAGTACTCAAATTTTAATAACTACAGGCTAAATATTAGATAAAATAACGACCAATTCATTCAAATTGTACATGAAACATGGCCCAAGTTCTTGCATGACCATGCATTGTCTGTTGGGAGTCTGGGCGCTAGTGATACAATGGCGGCCAAAGGCGGTGTATGTTGGCTTTACTTTGATCTTTTTGCCTGTTTGGTTTGTCCACATAATCACATATCACGATATGACATGTTAAATTAATAATATGATTTGTCTAGATTGCATCTCGTTCTTCAGAAAGATGATTTCTATAGTTTATTGTCATTAAAAATTTGTTGAGACTGTTGAGACTCGCGGTTTACCTGTGAGTCTTCAGGTTTTGGGGCTGAACCAATGAACTCTAAGGGCTGAACTCCAGCGGGTGTCATGGCTGGACTTACAAATCTCACGCTATTTCAGGAAAATAAATTTTGTTGATCAAATTCAGCATCTTTCAATGCAAGGAATAAGATTTATCATATATGACTGCGCGTTTTCCATTATTAATTTAAATCCAGTGAAAAACGTATGGGGAACTGAGAGGCAGAGCCAGAGGGCTATTACAGGGTAAGAACAAATATATGTTCGAAGAGCGTATGCCTTCTAATCTTTACCTCTTGTCATTTTCTAGTGCAGGAAATAACATTTTCTCAGCAGGAAAGAGCCGAAAGAGTGGAAAGACCATAGAAAGAGAAATTTATGGATGGAGCGTGCCAATAGATTACATGATGATCACTCCCCCCTCCTCCCTCCCCCATTCTGTTTATAATGGCTTTGATGCTAAGATAACCTCCATGTTTTTTGTCATCTGAAATTGGCAGCCCTGATAACGTTGCCTTTATATCATTAATATGAACAAATAGCTTTTAGAAAATGTCATGTCAGCGTGGCGTTTTACGGGCCTTTTACAGCGGCTTTTACTTTACCAGCAGCAACTGCCAGCAAGTCTTGCTTGGAACGGCAAGTGCCAGCCAGTGGTGGTACTAGGTGGTACGTTGCTGGACAGCCTGGACTCTTTCCGATAACTTATTTACGACCTTCAGTCATCGCACTCCCATGGTCAATGTGCCCCACTGTCAAGCTAAAACAATGGGATTAATGGAATTAACATCCCAGCCAACACTATTTACGGAGCGATTTTTGCTGAACCCAAATATCTTGGGTTAGTAAAACAGTGTTTAACGATTATTAGTATCTTTTAGTTTGGTTCTTTTCGCTCATGGGAATTTTTTGTAAGTTTAATTATTGGACCGGCGCGCTGTATAGAAAATTGGTAATGAGCCGGGTATAATCCAACTAATTTGTGTTGGCATGTACTAAAAGGCGAAACGCCGAAACGAAACAGCCGAAACCACCGAAAATATAAATTACAGGCAAAATGGAAAATGCAAAAGTATTAAAATATCAAATTTACAGGAAATTTTATGATAATTGGGGAGGGGTGGGCAACCCAAAGGACTTTGACTACATTAACACAGAATACTAACCTATTGAGAAAGTCATCTCTGTTGTTTTTTGCGTAAGCGCTATTCGTCATCGATCCGCCCCTCAGCAAGTGCCGTAAACAGAAGTATTCACCCCCTGACGTCATCGCCTTTTTGGGTATTTCCAGGGGGGTGACTGCTTCTGTTAAGGGCACTTGCTGAGGGGCGGATCGATGACGAATAGTGCTTAGGCGAAAAACAATAGAGATGACTTTCTGAACAGGTTAGTATTCTGTGCTAATGTAGTCAACGTCCTCTGGGTTGCCCGTACCCCCGCCCCTCCCCAATTGTCATCAATTTCCCGTAAATTTCATATTTTAATATTTATGCATTTTCCATTTTTCCGGCTATAATTTATATTTTCGGTTGTTTCGGTCGTTTCGTTCCGGTCGTTTCGTTTCGGTGGTTTCGTTTCGGTCGTTTCGGTCGTTTCGGTGGTTTCGTTTCGGTCGTTTCGGTGGTTTCGTTTCGGTCGTTTCGGTGGTTTCGTTTCGGTGGTTTCGTTTCGACGTTTCCTTTTAGTACATGCTATTTGCGTTGGGCATGTTATGGAGTTTCTAAAGAGAAAATTTAATACAGGAAAGAAACTGGATCTATCAGTCAGTCAGTCAGTCAGTCAGTCAGTCAGTCAGTCAGTCAGTCAGTCAGTCAGTCAGTCAGTCAGTCAGTCAGTCAGTCGGTCAGTCAGTCAGTCAGTCAGTCAGTCAGTCAGTCAGTCAGTCAGTCAGTCAGTCAGTCAGTCAGTCAGTCAGTCAGTCAGTCAGTCAGTCAGTCATTAGATTGTCGATACTGCCCTAGCGTAACCAAAACTCTGGGAAGCTGTAATTTTTTTTCTATAAACGACTAGCCTTTTATATTTGGGGGACTGCTTTGAAATATGATGAATTATGCCTGTTCCGCGCGGCAGGGCCTTGCGCAAAATAGTTTCCGTGCAATTTAAGTGCAATGAAGCCAGAAGTTACACTGGGGCCACTCGTCGTGTAAACCTTCATTTTTTAGTGGATTTTCACCAGAGTTCGACAGATTTGGGTTTGACATGAACTGCATACGTCTACTAATAACCAGCTCTTTCCATACACTTTGGTTCAGAAGTTATGAGACGAAATATAATGCCGTAAACATTTATAGTCTTAACTGGACTTGGTTGTCTAAAATGAACGCTCGGAAACGCTGCGCAAATTTTGTTGAAAGTAATAGTTAAATAACTTCTTCAATTTTCATTGAAATGACCTCATTTTTTAGTTGCAAATGCGCTTCCACCCGTAGAACCGCTACACTGAAGCTCAGAATTTTACTGCAAAGCGTGTTGATTTTATTTTAGTTTTTGTGCAAAATTGCCGAGTTACATTAGGGCACATGTGCCCTAATGTAACCGAAAACATGCCCTTGTGTAACCTCAAAAATTTCAACCTTAATTCTTGTCTAAAAGAAGGGCTTTTCACAGGCTAGGGCGGTTATATGTGCTTAGGCACATCAAAAGCTAGCTTGCAAACGCAAAACGGACCTTATTTTGTGCAAATTTCTAATGCGATTTATTTTGCCTTTTTTGCAGATTATAAAGGTTCAATTTTTTTTTAAAACAGTATAAACTATTACAAGAGGGTCTTTTGAAACATTTTATTGAAAAAAAAGTTTGCATGAGAACAATTAATAATTTTCCCAAGATTTTTGAAGACTACCCCTCGTAAGAAAATCACTAAAAAACGTAACCAGGGGGTGGCGCGGCGCCTGCAATGCAGAGGGGTAGTATCATTTTCGTACACGTGTGTGACTCGGTTGTTGTTGTGGGAAGAAGCAAAGCGACATTGGAAAGCGAAAAACATTACGAAAACAATTGTATTTGTGCCTATAAAGGTGAGTTAAATGTCCTTGAAATATATATGTAATCGTATGCGGCCAGTACTAGTAGAATTAGCATTTAATTTTATGTGTATTTTGACATGATTGTGAATATTTACATATCGCGTGAACGTCATTTACATATTTTTGGGTTGGATTTTTGCGAGGATTTTTTCAGTTGGTTTGTAGAACGCAATTTATACAACAAGATCAAAATATTTTTATATTGAATCGTATATATTTATATTGTTTCGAATAATACGCAAATATTTTGCCAAAGCTCCTGTATTTGTATTGAAACATTTACAACATTGCCCAAATTGGTAAATCTCGTTCTACAGAAATACAAGACCGATAATTTAGCTTTATTTTGTCTCAATATCTTATTATGTGATATATCATATTATGTGAATATCTAAGCTTCTTATTTATAGATCCAAATACAGCTTAATAAGTATCATTATACTAATATAAATTTATTTTGTAGCAGTTCAAATTGGTCTCAAATTAGCTTTGACTTTGTGAATAATATATCTAAGCTTCTAATTTTATACAGCTCCAAATACAGCTTAAGTATCATACTAATATAAATTTATTTTGTAGAGGTTCAAGTCTTCCCGTATTATTATATCTAAGAACGGGGCACAGACTTAAGTTGTGTTTTACGACAAGCCTTGGCCAGAAAACTGGCTCACTTTGGCCATGGCCTACCTAGAATTTTGTAATTAATTTTGTGTATTTTTATGTGTTGTGACATTGTCTACTGGTTGGTAGACTTGCTCCAAGTCTCTCTTTCATTGTCATATACTGTAGTATCTATCCACTATAGTGTACATTGCATGACGTACACACAAAGAGGCAGAGCGAGAAAGAGAGACTATAATTGCATGCTTTAATTGTTTTCTGTCAGTGTTATGTATTGATCTAGCACAGTGTAAATAACATGAGTTCCATTATAGTAAATATACAGAAAGAAATTGAAGGAAAACAATTAAAGCAAGTCTTGCATTTTCAGTTCTGCAGTTTTGAACCGAGATTTTCCGAAGTTGACAAGTCTCTCGTTCTCGCTCTGCCCCTCTGTACCACATCATGTAATGTACACTATAGTGGATCGATCTATATGACAATGAAAGAGAGACTTGGAGAAAGTCTAACAGGTTGGCCGTTAATTTCTCACTGCGGCCACAAGGCCATGTAGACATAACTAGGGCCCAGGCCAGGGCCGAAAGTGTTTACATTTCCACAATTAGCCCAGGCCTAGGCCACCGGATGTAGTGAGCCCAGATTCCTTGCCTAGGCCAAGAGCTGTTCACACTGTTAAATGTAGGCTCATTAAGGCTAGTACTTAAACATGTATTTAGCAGTTCAACATCTTTAGTTTATATAACCAGTCACTTGTAGCAGTTCAAGTCTTCCCATATCATTCATCTAAGCACGGGACACTGACTACCCCATCTTTAGTTTATAACCAGTCACTTAATTATAGCAGTTCAAGTCTTCCAGTATCATAATATACTGTATCTAAGCACAGGACACTGACTACAACATCTTTAGTTTATAACAAATCACTTGTAACAGTTCAAGTCTTCCCGTATCATTATATCTAAGCACAGAACACTGACTACAACATCTTTAGATTATAACCAATCACTTGTAACAGTTCACTTAAGCAAAATTCACTAATTTTGACATGTCATTGCAATGTAAATTCGGTTTCATTAAATGTACGGCATATCAAAAATCTAGCCACCAAAATACTTGTCTATACAGTACCGTACCTGTTGTATAAGTTGCTGAGATTCCATGAGTGTTTGACTAAATCTCAGCCATTCAAGGTGGCTTGACGTTGTTTTACTAAACCAATTAGCAAGTTACATATTATAATAAAACCAATGAAAACACTTCTCAAACACTGAGTATTGTTACTAAACAGTTTGTTTCACTTTTAAAATTATTCTGAGTATTTATACTCTAATATGTGAAAGTTTGGTACAATTTTGTTTTTGTGTTAGCATGAGTTTCTGAGCTGAGGTCTTACCTTACTCTATACATACTTAAGCAAAATTCACTAATTTTGACATGTCATCTGAATGTAAATTTGCTTTCATTGAAAGTAGATCAAAGATCTAGCCACCAAAATACTTGTCTATAATATATACTGTACCTGTTGTATAAGTGGCTGAGATTTCATGAGTGTTTGCAGGCTAAATCTCAGCCATTCAAGGTGGCTTGACATTGTTTTACTAAACTAACTAGCAAGTTATAATCACAAGGACCAATGAAAACACTTCTCAAACGCTGAGTATTATCACTAAACAGTTTGTTTCACTTTTAAAATCATACTGAGCATTTATACTGTCTGTAATAGTAGTTGAAACTTTGGTACAATTTTGTTAGGCACTTTTTGTGTTAGCATGAGTTTCTCAGCTGAGGTCTTACTTTTCTCTATACTTAAGCAAAATTCACTAATTTTAACATGTCATCTGAATGTAAATTCAGTTTCACTGAAAGTAGATCAAAGATCTAGCCACCGAAATACTTGTCTATACTTGTTGTATAAGTTGCTGAGATTTCATGAGTGTTTGACTATATCTCAGCCATTGAAGGTGGCTTAATTGACGTTGTTTTACTAAACCAATTAGCAAGTTATTATCATAGTAAACTAATGAAAACACTTATCAAACACTGAGTATTGTTACTAAACAGTTTGTTTCACTTTTAGAATTATTCTGAGCATTTATACTCTAATAGGTGAAAGTTTGGTATGATTTTGTTAGGCAGTTTTTGTGTTAGCATGAGTTTCTCAGCTGAGGTCTTACTTTATTGTACTGTACTTAAGCAAAATTCACTAATTTTAACATGTCATCGCAATATAAATTTGGTTTCACTGAAAGTAGATCAAAGATCTAGCCACTAAAATACTTGTGTATACCTGTTGTATAAGTTGCTGAGATTTCATGAGTGTTTGACTAAATCTCAGTCATTCAAGGTGGTGTGACATTGTGTTAGTGAACTAATATTAGCAAGTTATAATCATAATAATTAAACAAATGAAAACACTTCTCAAAGGCTGACTATTATAACTAAACAGTTTGTTTCACTTCTAAAATTATTCTGAGCATTTATACTCTAATATGTGAAAGTTTGGTATGATTTTGTTAGGCAGTTTTTGTGTTAGCATGAGTTTCTCAGCTGGGGTCTTACTTTACTCTACTTAAGCAAAATTCGCTAATTTTAACATGTTATCGCAATATAAATTTGGTTGCACTGGAAGTAGATCAAAGATCTAGCCACCAAAATAATTGTGTATACCTGTTGTATAAGTTGCTGAGATTTCATGAGTATCTCAGCGATTTAAGTTGGCTTCACATTGTTTTACTAAACTGTCTAAACTAATTAAGAAGTTGTAGTCATAAAAAACCCCCAATGAAAACAGTTCTCATAGGCTGAGTATTGTTACTAAACAGTTTGTTTCACTTTTAAAATCATTCTGAGAATTTATACTCCAATATGTGAAAGTTTGGTACAATTTTGTTTGACGGTTTTGTGTTAGCATGAAGTCTTACTTTACTTGTATACGTAAGCAAAATTCACTAATTTTAACATGTCATCTCAATGTGAATTTGCTTTCACTGAAAGTATAGTAGATCAAAGATCTCGCCACTAAAATACTTGTGTATACCTGTTGTATAAGTTGCTGAGATTTGATGAGTGTTTCACTAAATCTCAGCCATTTTAGGTGGCTTCACATTCTTTAATTAAACTAATTAGCAAGTTATAATCATAAAAACCCCAATGAAAACACTTCTCAAAGGCTGAGTATTGTTACTAAACAGTTCGTTTCACCTTTAAAATCATTCTAAGCATTTGTACTCTAATATTTGAAAGTTTGTTTAATTTTGTTAGACAGTTTTTGTGTTA